TACCTTCTCCTTCTGTGGGCTGAGATACCTTTTAAATGCCAGTTGTCCAGTCTGTGGCTCTCCCTCCTGTCTCCCAAGGTCATTCCCACATACCATTACACTAGTACATGTGTCAAAGTTTCATAGATCTCAAAATCTCACAAGAAGTTTTCCTCTCCTTAACTTCATTAGATGTTAGCATTCTTGCAAGATTTCAGGCAGGATGGAACACCAACAACTTGCAGGATTTGGTGATCTCTCAGAATTTCAGCCATCCAGCAGTCAAACTGGCTGGTACCAGGTTCTTTCTCTCTTTTAGTAAAATCTACCATTCCTTGCCCAGCCTGCTCCAGTATAACTACAGTGAGAGGTTGCACAGTAGTTACATTTTTCTCATCATTAAGTTTGTGGTTTTCCAGATATTGTTGCCATGCTCTGGCAACTGTGTGTGGAATTGCACTGATAAGTTTACCTAACCTGGCAGTGAAATGCCTTCAAGGAGAAAAGCAAGCTCAGAGATCACCAGGACCCCACATAGTCCCCACTAGAGTTCCATTCCCCAAATAAAATAATTAAAAGAACGAACTCCAGTGGATCCTTTCCATTTTAAATAAACCATACACTTTGCTCAGTTCCATTCCATATATTTATTTCTAAATTACAGCTCACTGAAAAACTATGCTCACCATCTGGGAAAGTGGACACCAGCATTTCAGGCAAAAAATTGCACCCTCTCCAGACGGTGGCTAGGTTCCCACACCTAAACTAAATGTAACTTCTGGTTAATAAGCGAATTGCAGTATTCACACAACATTCTATGCCTGAAACAAATAAGTCTGTTATGACTTCATGTGATGTCCTGGATTCTCACAATACACTAAACCACAAATGACCTAATCCCATTTTAGTCTAGTCTAAGGCTTTGTACAAATTCAGTGAGTGAGTTTCTGCCATTCCAGGCATTTTTTACGTATGTCTATTTAAGAGTAACCCTTGGTTTATTCACTGAGGCTTACTTAATCCCAGGTAAATGCACATAGGATTTCAGCTAAAATAGTAGCATTGACATCATCTGCCATTCCTTTAAGCTACAAAATGCTTTTTCTCCTTTAGACACAAGAACCCTGCAAGGTAGATCATTGCTCTACCACTAACTTCTTTGATGTCAAGGATCAAATGCAATGATTACGTGGCATCTAATATCCATAAACCAACATTCCTGGAACATGAATTGGAACAGCTGGGCACCAATGTGCCAGGCAGATTCTGAAGTGTGGCTTTCAAAATTGAAGCTAATGCTCAGGAAGATAGATGCCAAATTTATACTGCCTCAAGTTGCCTGCAAGGGCAATTGTTTCCCACTCTCATTACACACAGTTGTGCTGACTCTTCCTGGCAACAGATGCAGATCTGACTCTCCAACATTAGTTTCATCCCACCCCTCATCTTTTAGCTTCAGGCCCTTTGGGAGGTTAATAGGTTGTCTGTTCATTTTTCTTATCACCATTGGAATTACATTGACTCTCTCCATTAACATTTCATTTATCCTCAAAAACGTCCAAGGAAACGTTGCTAGTATATATGTGCTTTTTTCCTCTAGCATCACAGCTACCTTGTAAGGGAGGTTAAGGTGAAAAGGACAGAATGTTATGGTTGCTGGGGACTGAAATCAAATCTCATGAGTCCAAATGTTGTACTTCATGTAGCCTACCATATAATTTTATTTTGCCTTGTCCAAGAATTAGGAATAGTCCACCATAAGAATGGTCCACCATAAGAATACATGGAATTGTAATATTACCCTTCTTCAACTCTCAGATCTATCCATTCCTGGAGCTAGACTATTGGGTTGAACAGATTGTTTAATGGACTTTATGGAAGAATAACTTTCTTCACCTTTTCCAAAATCTCAAAAATATATCTCCACACATAGAACAATTCATGATGACTTCAGAAAGTTTTAAAATAGCTAAAGAGAGTTCAGAAGGACTGTTGATACATAGCTGGACATGGGTTAGTGGTGGTGGTGAGAATGGGAAAGAAAGATCAAAGATGATTCTTACTAACCTCATACCTCTAGATCCTGAAAACCTTCTTCCAGGAGACCAAGAACACCACAAGCTACTTGAAACTAAACCAGATAAGGGTCTTCTCTTTCAGCATTATCCATACCACCCATCCCCACCATGGGAACTTCTTGTGGTTTGGACTCTACTTCCCATCATCCCCCACTCCTATCATCTCCCAGTCCTATCTACTGTCATGAATTAGCTTTCCAAAGTTTCAAGCAAGGCTTTTCTTTCCAACCCCACATCAGGTTGCGGCAGGAGTTCAACCCAGGACTTGACATCTCCCAAGGCTGGGGTTCCCCCGTGCTGAGCTGTGGGTCCTGCAAAGGAATCCTGCCTGTTCCATCTCTGTCAGTCTGAGCAAAACCCCTAGGGCGGGGAAAAAAATCAGGAAAAGGGAGAAACAAAAAGAATAGCATCACATGTAAACATAAACATACATCTACACCCACACTCACTCAATCATTCCATTTCTTTAATGCAATTGTTGCTGCCTTACCTATCTTTGTTTGGGTTTGGAGGAAAGCAGTTTGCTTGCTGAGAGCACTTCTCCTTGACTGAATCTGGAAAGAGTCAGGGAGAGAGTCTGGTTCAGCATATTTCACAGGAGTTCTCCTCGCAAACCCCTCCCAGGGCCCACCCCCTCCACACTCAGCCCTCAGCAGCGGAGGCTCAAATGGGTGATATCAGAAGATCTTTTTTTTTGTAATGTGATACTACTTTGTGGATACCAAGAGTCTTCCTGCTCCGAAGCATGGAGAGGAGGGAGTGAGACAAGGTGGGGCGGGGGG